AAAATAATTATACTATACTAAAAATTAATATTATAAAAGCAATCAACTTTACAATTTATTGATTATTAAAAAAAAAAAAATGATTATGTTATAAGTTATTTATTCGTATTATTTATATAACATTGTGTATATACAATGAACTACATATAATACATATAATATACTGTAGTCTTCCACAAATATATTATCCAATACCAATGGTGATATTTCTTGAAATAGTGAATTAATAATTCTTTTTTTGTTTTTTTTTTTTTTAATTCATCCACAGGGATCAAGATAGCAAATATTCATATTGTAATTACATTTTTTCTGCATGCTTTAGTTTAACGTTTTTTTTTTTGACTTATTATTTTTCTTGACATCTTCGACGTTTCAAATTTTTATTTTCAACAACTTAATGATTTTTAATATATTTTTCTTTGGTTCACATATAATTAAAACGAAATTAAAACAAAGAGAGAATTTCGCTAAAAAATATTCTGCATACAAGGCTCTTTTCCATCGCATGGTAAACGTAAAAATCAGTAATTTCAATTATTTCCAGTCGAAACAGAAATAGTGAATTCGCAACAAATGACGTACCGTTAATTATATCTTGCTACGTTGCTGTTTTGTATAAGACGAATAGCCGGTTTGTAATTTTTGGATCTAATCGTAATACGTTTGCCGCTGACATGCGGTAGATTTTTTGAACATATCGATTAATAAACAAATAATTATAATCTGGTTTTTTTGTTGTGTGGGAACGCGCGTACCACATACCTTGCTTAAAAATATATTATTTAAGAATAATATACTTTTTTTTTTTTATTAGTTTCCGATATTAAAACTATTACAGTTCGAAAATTACAACTATATAAGTTATCAATACTTAAATGAGAAGACAAAAACAAGAGAAAGAGAAAAATAGAAAAGGAAAAGAGGTGATTATATTAAAATCACATTAAGTGTCCAGATTTTTCGAAAAACTTTAGTATTCTAATAATAATAGGTCTAGAGAAGGAATATTAAAATATTTGTGGATCCACTAAGATTTTATTGTTACTATGTAAAAATTTAAATAGTTTTAAACGTGAATTAATGAGTGATAGACAGTTTAAGAAAATGTGAGCCAAGTTAAAGTTTACCTCTTCGGCGCAACGTGTACAAAGAGGATAGTAATTTAAGGAAAGGTTAAATGCATGAACAGGAAATGAATCGTGTTCTAATCCGAGCCTGGAAAATCGATCGATATGGCACCTAGTTAATTAAAGATTGTTTATGGAACCATTGGTGTGATGAAATCACTTTCAGGGTTGGAGTATTTAGAATTTTTTTTGGGAACCGACCTTGACAGTACACCACGTCAACAACAATAACAGCAAAGAAAAAGCTGTTTTTTTTTTTTAAAAAAAAATTTGCATTCCTAAAAACCCAGCAAATATATCGTTATGTGGCCGTCCGTTTTCCTAACCGATGCGCTTCTGCCGTCGATTTCCAATACAACTCTCAGCGACCGCGTTGTAGAACGATAAACGCAATACAACGTGGAAGTGATGCAGTGAAAACGTATTGTTCGTTTGCGGACAAAGATCAACAAACAAACGTTGACGTTTTTTCGCCACTGTTGTTTGTGACCTCGTAAAAAACAACGTTTACGTTGTCAGGGGGGCTCCAGGGGGGGTCCTTGGGGTCGCGGTCCCCTCCCAAGCCTGTACCGTATTTATAAAAAAAAATGTATATTGTTAGTAAAAAATGCATATTATAATATTTACTATCATACGACACACACAAGTATGTAAATGGTGCCATAAAGGTATGACGGTTGAAAGGAGTTTCTCCATACTTCGGTGACTAAAAACCTGGCTTCGTTCAATGATGACTGAAGATAGACTATCAGCATTATGTCTAATTAATGTATATCATAAAGTAGATATTCTAGATCAAATAAATTATATTATTGATATTTTTGCCAATTTTAAAAATAGACGACTTGAATTTGTGTTGTAAAAATTGTTGTTTTCTTTTGGTTATAAGATTTTTTTAAAATTATAGCTTGCCTCCTGAAATCCCTCCCAACCAAGGCTCTGGAGCCGCCCCTGAACGTTGTGCTCGTATCGTATGCACATTGAACGTCAACTAAAATCGATCGTTGTATACCATATGTACGTTAAAGTGCACCTCAATTTAATGTCATGATTAAAGGATACGAAAAAAGGTCGCATCCAGACGCGGATCCATCTATAATGTTGGAGGGGGGGTAATTTTTTCAAAATGGCAGTAATATAATATACGATAAAAAATAAAATAGAAATAGAAGTTAATCATTTAGGTATTAAAAATTAGAACTTCATTAGTTAATGTTATGGTTCGGGACTAAATGTACACAAATTTTAGGAAATATTTATACAAATACGCATTTAAAACAACCGAATTATGCGCAAAAATATGTAACTGAATATTTGTTTGATGACAATTAAAAAATTTGATTTATTCATTGAAATTTAAACATTTTTTTAATTAATATTTTTACTAATTACACTACATACATTATATTACGGTGCATGTTCGATTTAATTTTCTTCATCTTCTCTTACAATGAAAACTAACTGAATATATATTTTCCTTTCACATTCTCTAAACAATTTACGATAACCGATAGTATACGCAGGAACAATTAGGTACTTCCCATTTTGCCCTGTCACAAATCGTTCTATGATTACGTATACTGATTGATGCGAAAAAAAAATAATGTTAACCTTTAAAATAAATGTACTCAACATCAAACAAAAACTGCGTAAATATGCTATAAATAACAATTTAAAAAAAATTCGTCAAATTTAACGTGTGCGAGAATCAGATCGTTGTGGTCGTGCGTAAACGTCACCACCGCACGTATGTGAACCAGGGACGTCGCGAGGGGGTGGGCAATAAGGGCAGTTGCCCAAGGCTCCATGCCTTAAATTATAATTAAGGCCCCGCGGTTCTGATTTAATTGAACTTAAAATATTTTATCAATATAAAATATAAGACCCAACATTTATTTTGCCCATGGCCTTGGAAACTCTAACACCGTCACTGGTGTGAACAATACTAAGTAAGCAATAGTAGTAATAGTAGCAATAGTAGTAATGGTTCGTAATTACTCGTGAGCAAACCGAACGCGACTCGAGCGTATAAAAATATATTACGGTATCTAAGCGCACAAGCTGCTCTTTATTTTTTTCTGCTAAGGACGGACGACAAGACTTCGTTACGGAGATCGAAATCGTCATCAGACATTGTTTGGTGATTTCGTTTACGGTTCAAGTACACGAACCGAGGTAGCAGTTACGGATGGAATGGATGGTGGAAGGGTGCACGGTCAATGTAATCAATGTAAACAATGCGTTTCGACGGTTTAACGGAATACTATTCGTTTCGGCGGGACGACGTGGGCAGCTCGATACAGGTGAAATGCATATTAATTGTTGTCGCTAATGCGTATTGTTGGCCGTCCGGCGGTTTCGAAACCGTGTAATGTAATCGGTGAAACAGCCTTCTGATGCAGTTCATGCAACAAATTAATATTGTTGACATCAACGGAACACGATCAATATCAATACATTTCAATGCCTTGTTACCATTAACACACGAATATTTTATTCAACAATATACGGAACAAAAACAATGAATAATCGTAAATAAAGTACCGCGTTACGGTGATTTTCAAAAGATTTACAATAATAACATATGAGATGTTTAACATCACAAAAACAATATTATATCATCGTTACGCACTATTATTGTAGAACAAATAATTTTTACTCGATAAACAATTGTTGACAATTTACAGACACGTGATCATTTAACAATTGTGTAATAAGTATGTGTAGAGGAACTGAACAATAACCGAATTAATAACGCAATATCCATTAATTGGTATCGGTACATTTTTTTTTCTCCTAAGCATTAGGCATACATTATTATTATGGCTAGGTATAGGTACATATATATATATATAATAGGTATTCGATTATCACGAAACATGAGAAAATAGACTTATTTACATATGGCGTGGTTTAGGTGTATAAACGTATTTCGTTGCAACATCATTCGGTTTCGGTAATCCGTAAGAACATCACAATTTTTCTAAATGACGCCATAAGGACTAGACTGTGTAACAACGCGATTGGAACCTTAAAAACTAAACCAAAACATCTCTGACGATCATTCCGAACCCGCGTTGTCATCGTTCAACAGATTCGTACACGACTTGGCTTTGGTGGTTCTGAAAAACAACATTAAGCATCATGCGATTAAAATCAAATTAAAATTGACTTACGACGACTTGTTATTATATTATAACCTATACTTCGCATACTCGTAGGTATGAAGATTTATATTTATTTATTCCTAACGTTCGTAGCTGTATTTCTGTTTACGTACACCGAACCTATATATGGTCACAATATGATCAACTGAAAAAATACTTAATACCTGGGAGGTCCTGGGGAGTAGACTATATAATCCTCTTTTACAAACATACTGATGACTGATCCGTTCGAGAATAGAATACGAGGAATTGGTATAAGACACGGCAAAGGTGTTTTGAACATTGTCGGCATTGGACGTACATAAGACTACAAGAGATCAACCTCGCCCCGGGAGCACTTCAAACCAGCTTTAGACTATATAGTATTCTGAATATAATAGAGTAGCATATGGCATACCCCAACCTTTGGAAAACAAAAGAACAAAAAGTGTAACATGCGGGATTCTTAGAAGTAGAACTCAAAATCACAAATTAAACCACCCGAACGACAATAATTGTACACTCATAGGAACCCATAAATAATTTATGGGTACTTATGAGTGTACTCGAAAAGTTGATAAGACCATGAAATTATAAATCATACATTGAGTAACGGAAGTTTAAGATTTCATAAAAGTTCATTTTAACACTTACACTTTAAAGAACAATGACGGAAATACAGAATTTGTTGCTTATCACTAAAGGGTGGATTTTTAGGTTTATTCATATACATATTTTTTTTTCATGCAGTGCAGTGAGAATAAAAAATGCGAACGGTTCAACTATTATAGAGTTCGTAGAAATACATTTAATTTGCCTATTAAAAAGTATTTATAATTTTGGAAAATATTCATCCCATTTTTCATAATTTGGTATTATTGTATAATTATTCATAAAAATATATTTTATTAATTTCTCGAGTTGTACTTTTTTCATTGCAGGAAATTTTTTTATTTATATCAAAAAAATCATTAAGGTCATTAAATTTCTTGTTTATTATCAAATGTGTGTATATATATATATATATATATAGGTACTATATAGGTAATATTGGTCATGGTTCTCTCGGACCTTGTTTATAACATAGATAGTAAAGGCATTTTGGCGGGCGATAATATTTATTAATAATTGCACTTATTCAGTCAGAAAATAAAAAAAAACAAATTTCTAAATATTTAACTCCTAGCTTAGTTACTAATATGAAGAAGTGCATCGGTTGACGTGGAAAGGTCATTGAGTTTGATAAAAATATTTTAACAGATAGAAGAATAAATTTAACTCTTGAAAATATGGAGCAATATATTATTATAAACTTTTTTCACAAAGTGTCATACTCGTATCTTAAATTACAAGTATAAAATCTATTATATTTAAATTTTATTATATATTTTAATCAATATTTTTTTATAATTTACCAAATAATTGTGCACAACCCTGTCTATAACAGTTATTTATAGTTATTCATATATTTTACTATATATATTTATATATATGTATTTTATGTAAAATTTAATTTAGGCATACCTAAATATTCAATAAATATTTGTTATTTTAACGTGTGTACAAATCTAAAATTATTTAAAATAAAAATAAATCATATTTTTAGTACATTTTACATATACTAAAAATATTAAGAGAATATTTTAAGGTTTTTTTTATAGTATATTATATTATTATATTAGTATCATTTTTCTAAGAACTTAAAAATTTATTCACTACTTATCACTTATCAATGACATCGAACACAGAAACTGTTTATTGTTCACTTAAATATTTCTACACCACTCTAAATTAATCCCTACGATAAGAATGTCCATTATATTTTAATCAGTCTTTTAACCATATATAAGTCTTACGAGCAAAACAATAGTAATAAATTATCAACATCAATATATTCATTTTCCATGGGAAAATAACATTAGAACAAAACAAATCTTTGTGGTTTCAACTAGATATATAATCACCTCTTAAGTGGCTAAGTGACGACGCCATGCCAGTCGCTGTTTTCCGAACCACCTATAAATGACTTATCAAGGATTACTCAGTCACGCGGCTGTTAAACGAAGTTAGTTGCTCATAAAAATGGCAAAGAAATGAGATCAATCCGAGGAAAACAAATTATAGAAAATGAAACCGAACGAGTAACCTCTACTCACAGGCTAAACGACATGGTATTTACTATTTTCAATAGGATCTACTTTGGTCATATAGGTAAGCCATTATATTATTCATCCATTCACCAAGCTCCAAAATGTCAATGTCAAATGAACATCACGAGTCCATTAAATATATCGCTGTCAAATAATCGAACGAGATATAAATACGTCGAATAAATGAAACGAACAACGAGGGGAGAATTTCTCTACCTATCAAATCGACAAAAATAGAAAGTAAAAATTAAAAAAAAAAAAAATTTTTAAAGGACATTTTAGCTAATTCTTTAAAATACATAGAGTAACATCTTAACGCATGTACAACTTTAATAACAATGATCTCATAAAGTGTCTTAAATCCGTGTTGATTAAAAGCGTTGCAGTTCACAAAGTTTGATATTTTTTGTTGATATTTTTTATAATGTGAACTCATTGTATAATGTATTAATAATTTTTCTTTTTATCACAGTAAATATTTATAAATGAAAATATTTGTTTACCTATTTGACGACTTAGATCTCCGGCAGATGTGAAGTACAATAGAACCACTTTTAAACGATTTAAACAAGGATATGGCTTCTGAGTGAGTTAAATCGTGACAAACGTTGCCGTTTACTGCTAATATCTCGTCTCCTGTAATTGAAAATATTATAAATTAAGAACATTATAGAAAAAAGTTTTACTTACAGGTTTACAACTATCATTTAGTATTTGTTTTTTTAACCGTTCGTACATGTTTTTTGAACACAAGTTATGAATAACATTGGAGCGATAAAACTTCCTATCCATTAATGCGTTCACTTTTGACAGTGACTGATTCGATTGTTAAGTAGATATATACAATAACAATGGATAGATATTTAGAGACAAGTGTCTGCAGCTTTACAATAGCTCTGTAATCTAACAGTTCCAAAAATATGTTCGGTAATACACTTTTAATGATGGATTTTTTTTTTTTTATTAATACAAACACTAAAAGAAAGTATACATAATAGATGCCAATTCATTAAAGTATAGATCGAAATTGTTGAATAAAATAAAAATGGGATAAAATAAGAATTTTGAATTGATTTTAATGACGATATGAATCGGAGGAAATTCAAAAAATATACTTATATATTTCGAATAAACAAAAAATTACCACGAATTAAATTGAATAAATAAGACATATATGTATTATAAATACATTATTTTATATAACAATATTTAAGTTATTATTTATTATTTAGTTACTCGTTATTTTAATCAAATAAGATATTACACGCTTGGCCGTGTAGAAATAAGTTATAATAATATTTGAAAGAAAACTGTAGCAGGTATATAATCTTGTAATTAAACACTTTTTTGTCGAAATGTATTATTAAAGACAAAAAAAAGAAAAAAAAAGGAGATGGTAAATACTGGAAGTATAAATGACAATGTGAAGTCATTCTTCTAAAAGTAATGATACATTAAGATCCTACCATGACTAAATTGCTTGACATACATTTTGAAAAATTAATTTTCTGAAAAGGCAATCGAGAGTTAAGAGTTAGAAAACTAAAGAAAAACGAACATTCCACAACAAATGTAGTAAGTAAATATGTTTTTTATTTTTAAACTTTCCTAGTGTTAAATTAATAATAATTATAATAATATTAATAAAATAAACTATATGAGAGGTTTGAATTTATTTTAAATGGATTCGGTATTTAAAACGTCTTATAATTACTTATATATAAAAATTACTTATTATTATTATATTTCTTAGTATTTAAAATTATTTAACCGTTTCCCTGTCCGAGGGATGAACAGTAATTAGTAATTGTATGAAAACGAAAATGATAATGTTTGAAATGCAAATGCGACGAGTAGTGTAGTTACAGAGGGTTGTATTGACACTTTAAATATTTGACTTTGACGAAATTGTAAACAAAAAATAAAGGTTTTCTTTCGTCTCATGGAGTTCGAAAATTTATGAAACAGCTAATTCCAGTAACTTGTGATTAAATATTGTAATAGCGTATTATGTATAGAAAGAAGGTACTTAAAGTGTTAAAGTCAATAAACATGTTTTTAAAGAAGTTTTTGAGAACGCTTGTGTTCGTATTATTGTAAAAATAATCCTTTAAAAGCACGTGGGTAAGAGAGAAAAAAAATTTATCGGTTCCTAGTGGATTTTGAGTACGAGCTATTAAGATGAGCACCATGACTCTGTACTGATCAGGGACCGTATAGTTTACCTGGTTTCAGTCGGCCGTCTTCCGCTGCTTGCCCGTACTCCAGTACGCTCTTGATGAAAATGCCCATCGCTCCCTTCGGTGAATCCTTGCCGCCGACGATCGTGAATCCCAGACCCTTCTTGCCGGGGCCCTTTTCCAGCACGAACGTATGGAACGTGCAGAACGTCGACCGGGGCCGTCTCGGTAACGTGCAAAACGTCGTGCAATCCGTGTCTTCACCCGCGAACCTCGTCCCGTCGCAGCTGCCCTTCAGATACACCGTGGACACGTTGCTACTCTTGACAACGTCCGGTGGCTTTTGCGAGGGCTGCGGCGGCGGAGGCGGCGTGATGTACACCACCGTCTGCCCGTTCTTGTTGTACTTCTGCACGGGCGGAGACACGGCGGCGACGGTGGTACCAGAGTTGTGGTCGTGGTCCACCGACGTTTCCGGCATCTTCCAAGGCTTACCGTCGGCTCCGCGGTTCCGTTTGGTCACCGCCAGCAGCTTCACCGCGGTGCGTCCGTCGTTCAGCAACCGGTTGGCTTCGGTAGCATCCAGACCTGCCAGCCGACGGCCGTTCACATTCACGATCTCGTCGCCCACCTCCAGATCGCTGGTTCTAAACAAAAACGACCAAACGGTTACAGCGTTGCATTGAGTCATCCGAATCGCGATGTTGAAAAATGCAGCGAAAATCGGTTCCGAATACTATAGATCCCCCCCCCCCCCCCGATCGGACATTATACGTGAATTCTCTTCACACGAGTATATATGTACACAACAATATATGATAATATCCCAAGTCGTCAATTAACGATAACATGTTATATTACTCGCTACATATCTTATTATTCTAAAATATTCAACACGAAAAACTATTTAAAAACGCGTAATTACACACACATTATGTGTATGATCTTCGTATTTAATAATAACTAAACGAACTCGTTTCACGTTAGCATTTAGATACTGAGAATAGCGAGAAATGCATGGGTTACGGTTGTTTTCTTAGAACTTTCAACGTTTTTCACCGGTCCCGTGAATAATAACTTTTTAATAGGACGTTTGGCCAGCGACGCCTTGTTGGTTTTAAAATGTCTCAATAATTTACCAGATGCATAAATTTTATATGCTGAAAACAAAAAAACAGTAAAGGGAAATAATGCTAAATGTATTCCATTCTAATAAGCTGTTAAATAAAATCAATACCTAGAAATTATTACATTTTGTGTTTTATCACTGATGAGTTTCAGGTATAATAAATGAGACATTCAATACATATATGTTATATTATAATATGTATGTATGAAAATTCCTTTGCTAAGTTTTTCAGAACCCGACTTATTATTATTATTATTATTACGATTATATTATATTTGAATGTGTACAAATCGATAAGATTGACTCAACTACTGGTAGTAGTTAAGTAAACTAACTAAGCGGTACTACTTGTTTTTCAAATATTAGAAATGCATTGAAAGCATATGAATAATGTATCAAATTAAATCAGAACTTCTTTATTGCACTCAAAATTAAAATATTGTTGAAAAATCGTATAAAAATAATGAATATATATTTCATTTTTTACGAATTTATGTATTCTTGTGAAGAGGCAAAAAAAAACATATAGATTTTATAAGTTTATTATTTTTTAAGTAATTATATAATAAATATCATATTACAAATAATAAATAAACAGTCATCTTTCAAATCTGAAAAATATATTTTATTTATTTTTTAATTATTTCTATAAGTATGATTATGAATTATTTGTAAACCTAATTCCTCATGTCAAATATTAGATAAATAAAAGAAAAAAAATCTCTAAACAATGAATATATATATATATTATTGAATCCATTAAATAAATATTTTTTGTGTTTTTAATTTGTCAACCAGCTTAGATTTTTTTCTATTAAAACAAAAATAAATTGAAAGAAAATGTACTCATAAAGTGTTCGTGGTTATTTTGACTTATTTATAAAGAGAAAGTGCGTAGTACAGATGTACATGAAATAAAAAAGTACATTTTAATCAAGCTATAGATTGATAGGTATAGTTTTTAAAACTAATAGAAAATATATCGGTGGCATATTCCAGAAAGACTGACCCACTCTAAATATTTTTTTCACCTCGTGAATGTATGGTTTGGCACGGATTTGAAAGAAGAAAAAAGTTGTAATTATTAGCACTAGATTTTCGTTCCCAATTTGTTTTTTTTTTTAAATAACAAATATCATTATGTTAAATCGATCTTATAATAAACATGTAAATCGACATAGATTTGTAACCACAGACTGAATTTCTGATAAGAATTATTTATGCTGAAATTGTTTTCGAATTTTCAAGTACCATTCGAAATCTTAAAACTCATTTATGATATAGGTTTGTGTATTAACTTTTAAAAATTTATTTATACATAAGGCACATTGATATTGTATATTTACCGGTCGGCCACTCCTCCTGATACGATATTAACGACCACATAACCAAAACGGTTTCCAGACCGTATCTCTTTAATCCGAACACCTAGAACCTGTTCCGGATAATCCCTATTCAACTGCACCATTTTGTATTCCTCTTTATTTTCACTGGCACTCGGTTGTAATATGGTCGGTGATTGATTAGAAGGTGGTAGACTAAATGCGTAATGTCGTTTAATGCCATATTGAGAAGCGCTACGAAAACAGTAATCTTGAGTAACAGTTTCTGAAGTTCCATTAAGTGTTTCAACTGGAGGATCATTTAACAGTATGCCACTATCATCGTCTTCGGGCGAGCAGGTTGTTTTTTCTAACGGCGTTTCAGCGATTCTCTTTCGAAATTCGTCTAAACCCGGTAATGCACCATGAGAAAAACTTCTTAACTTAACCTGCATAAATTGGTAAAATACAAAAAAATTAAAACAACAATTTAATTTTATTTATTATAATTAAAATAAAATGTATTTATTTATTTTACTACAAATATTTCATTTTGATATTACATACATATTAATCGAAATAGTTTTTTATAAATCCATTTGAAATAGTATTGAATTCGACAGACATATCTTATAATTTTTTTATTTCAAATTAAAAAAATATTAAAATGCTGATTCAAATCCAATATCAATCATAAGCTATATTAATTTAAATGATATCATCGTGTTTATAATAAATAATATCTAACAAGTAACGTCAATGACGTCCCACTACTATTATATTCGATTGACGGTTGTATAAAAACTGTTAAAACCACAAGAAAAAAATAGATATTTAATGAATAATACTTACAACCACGTTAGCAATTTTATTTCATTATATTAATAACGAATAGTAATACATATTACTGTGTATAAAAATAATATGAATAACTTTTTAAGCACTATACGATTCAATACATAACTTATGTTTATCAATGTATTTCTAATGTTAAAGGAATGATTTCTATAAAAAATAAGATGTTAAAGAACTTTTTAACAGTTTTCTCGATTAAATTAATTTGTGAAGTCAGTCTTTCTAACATAAGTACAATTTTGAAAATAATAGATGGACTTGCGCCACCTCTTTTAAGAAATTTTTATTTTATGGACTTTTGGTTATTGGAAGAATGCGGCACCTATTATTTATTTACAGAATAAATAATCAAAAAAATGAGTCAAACTCGTACCATAGTAGTACATACCCGGTCTGGGCTCGATTATTATAAAAAAGTCCAAAGAATAACGATTAAAATGATAAATTAAATACTTAAATATGTTAAATTAAGTACTAGTACAATTTATAATACTCGTAATAGCTAAGCAGTGGCGTGCCTATAGAGCTCTGTATTATACACATATATATATATACTTTTTAAAGTCTCTTTTAAACATAAAAATTATTTGCGCGAATAAAATGAGCGTTTTAATCGGTATATCTACACCGTATAAGCGATATATCTACACAATATACAAGGCCGCCGCAGACATTTTTCTCCGGGGGGAGGGGCAGCGAAAAAATTAATACACTTACCATAAATTCTGTTTTTTGTTACTTCGTAAAATTTATTTACTATAATATAGTAAGTATATACATATATATATAATATTATGTTGTTGTTACAAATAAGCCTGTATAATACAAAATAAAAAAAATAATTAATAATAAATAATTATGGCTCATTGATCATTATCGTCAAATAAAAATTGAACACGCCATGGTTCCATGCAAAAAAGCTTAATTTTATCTTCAACAATGTCAGATTTTTGAATTTTTAAAAAAATAACAACAATATTATCATAAAAGTATAAAACCACATAATAGATTAAATTTAATCTATTCTGTGATAAAACAGTCATCACCATGGCTTTAGATAGAATTAAAATTAGATAGAATTCTATCTTAAACCGTGGTCATCACTTTGACTTTATCAATTAAAACCACAATAATTGTATATGGACCATAGAGTTGATATGATATGAATCTACAACCATGATTAAAACAAATAAACCAAATACCGAATACCTAATGATATTGAAAACTGACGAACAATTTTGTGTCAACTTATCAGTTATCAGTCCTCCTTATCGCCCTCCAAGACTGATAAATAAAATGCAAATAAATGCAAAAAAATTAGGTATTATCTAAATTAGCGGGGGGGGGCGTACCCCCCTACGGGCGGCCTTGACAATATATTGATATATCATATTTGCACTGTTCGCTGTTATAGGTACTTATGCAGTATCGACATGTTGCTATCGACTATTATAATAAAATATGATAAAAATGATAGAAAAATGAATATTTTGAGTAAAACTTACCTTGTTCGTTTTCTTTTCGTTCGTGTTTGACTCTCCAGTTTCCGTAGGCTTATCATTTTTAACGGACGGATTTTTATACAATTTCGCCAAAAATCTGTGTGTAGATGATTTCAGGTATTTATCGGAAATAGCTCTCAGTCGGCCAGATATCGTTGAAATATCTTCATCGTCACTGTCATCAACGTCATCACTAACGTTGTTGCACTGAACGCCTGCGGCATACGTTCTTCTATCCTCGTGATTATGTCTAACCGTCGAGTTGGGTTTGAAATGCGTAAGACCGGTATGCTTGACTTGGTCTAAGAGTGGGTTTCGTTTTTCTTTAGCTTGTTTGTTGCGCGCGCTTTGCATCACAATCGTACGGTCCCGGATATTGTAACAGTTTACATCTCGACTATACTCCGACCTTTCCAATCTCAGTGGAGAGGCGTCTGCAAAAACATACACAAACATATTTGCAATTATTGTAAAATCGAATGAGCAAAAAAAAAAAAAAACCAACTTCAGTAGTGGATTAAATTAGTCTACAATAATTTAATTATAATCGATATAATAATACCGGTACACCAATTTTTTCTCTACGTTTTCCCATCTAATATTATTTACTCGTATTTATTATACAGAGCTAAATATTTTATGTCGTATACACTTTCAAAAAAATTCAAATTAATTTATTTTAGAAACTTATACGTTCCTGTTTATTACGAAAAATATATTTATTCGTATCTTTAAAATTATAATATTTAATAAGCAACTTCTTTTTTTTCAATACGTTTTTCTTTTCTAGATCGAACATGACCTGCAATAATACACTTGATATTTTTATGTGATATTAAAATAAGTCACTCGAACATGATCGCAGATGAAGATTTTTCGGTAATTGAGAAGTCAATTTACAATTTACTAAACACGCCGTGAATTTAGTAAGGAAATAATGTATGATCCCACGATGTATCCGTCTTTCCAGATAGTACCAACTTTATTTACAGATAAGGTTATTAAGGTTTCAGAAAATTTAAAAGCATTTAAAGTATAATAACTAATATCAAACAACGCAAAATTATTTCGTTATTTGTAAATTAGTTCATTAGTATTATCTGGCAAGTTATACTAAAAACTAGTGGAGTGAAATACATATATTCTGATATATGAGAGTACAAAGTCAAATAATCGATCTCCAAACATTTTTGGATCGAAATTAATTAACAATTCAAAAGTGAAGAGCATGGCACAAGGCTGTTGATAATCTATGGATATATAGAGAAATTTCCGAAATAGGTTTTGAGAAAAAAATATTAAAAAATAATCTGTGCATAGTATTTATAATATCTTATAATCATATACGAGAATATTATTAGCGCATAGAAAGTTGTTTAACAAACTCCGTTTTAAAGATCGTAGTTAATGATGAAAAACGCATAAAAATCATACTTAAATAAATCTAATTAATTAATATCATAAAATTATAAATTTCGACAAATGTGTACATTAAAATTGATTTGGATTTTATTAAATATGTATTGTTAAATATCGTTTTACAAATATTTAATTTTATAATAAAATAAATATAAAAAAAATTTAAAATATAGCGGATATATAATGATTAATTTAAGTAGTGAATTACATCATACATGTAAAAAAAAAATGATCCATTTTTTTAAATAATTGTGTAAGAAAATAATTCACCTGACCTAGGATAAACGTATGCAGAATTCTTCTGATGCTGGTCATTTGAGGTCAAAATAGTGAAAAAAACCGGGTGTCGATCGAAACCAGCATTCCAATCGGATGCCGAATACTACATTCCCTTAATGGGTGTGACGTCATATAAAATGTGGTATGCATAATAAAAACTAATTTTGACATTTTTATAATATTTAAAATTTTAAATCAGAATTCATTAATTAAAATAAAACACAATAGTATAGCATTGTATTAGTATTTTGTTATTCAAGTCAACAACAAAGATACTGAAATATATACAAATTTAAAAAAAAAAACATATTAATATTATTGAAAAAATATTATTTTCATCATACAATAAATTTATTATTAATAGTTTTTAGTGGTTATGAATAATAAATTAATAACTATCAAAGAATAGTTTAATTCAATAACCTACAATATCCATATCAAAATATTGAATTATGAAACATAATAATAATTTCAGTAAAGACATTTTTAAAAGCTAAATTTGTATTTTAAAATATATTAAAACATTTTTATTACATTAATGGAGAGTTAGTATAAAAATATACTCCTGCATGACCGTTAAACTATGTATTTATTATTTTTCCAAATTCCATATATTAATAAAAATTGTTTTTGCTTTTTTTAATATTTATCAATTCCAAGATATAAAAATTTTAATTCATTAATTTTTAAAAAAATTTTATATTCCTAATCGATTTGAGTTTATAATATAGATAAAATACAAAGAAACACATTCGCCATTATTATTGAGATTATAATTATATTATTATTATCAGTAACTAAAATAAAAGAAATTGGTTTTTTTTTTATTAAAAATTATTCAATATATTATTGTTCTTTTTAAAACCAAATTAAGTTATCAATTTTTTTACAGATGTTTTTTTATAAATATAAAAATATTCATTTTAACATAATACATTTTTCGGTTTCAAATAAAAAATAAAACAAATAGTATGATTTTATTATAATAATAGATGTATTATATGTTTTACTTTAATAGAAATTTTTTTTATAATTTACATCTACATACGAGTAATATTATATTTATAGAAATATTTATATAATGAAAATAAACTTTTATTCATGTTGGGTTAAAATTATTTATAGGTAAATATAATTATTATTTTTAAAATGAGTAAATATTAAAATATAAATACTGCTGAAACAATGTATTATTATTTATTATCATAGAAAATTAAATTATTATGAATGTATGGTACAAAGTTCCGTTAACAATGTACGTTTACCCACGTTTTGTATTATTGTTTTGCTATTGTTATCACTAAAGTTCAGTTACGATTCTTGATTTGATCATATTAAGCACTTTATACTTTAGTCGATGATATCCTACTCTTAAAATTATATGCAAATTTAAAAAATTAATATTTTTACATTAAATAGTGTCACAAACTTTTTAATTTTAGTTATATGATACTAAACAATTTTATTAAATTAATTATATTTAATTTTCAGGTCACAGAAACTATTCTTTTATTTAAAAGATTATAAGTTGAAATATTTCTATTTATACTTTAAATAAATAATTGATTGACATACCTCTAGAAATATTACTGACTCAATAAAATGAAAACAAACTTAATTTTAAATGTCTACGAAATAAAAATACGACTTTTAAATTATCAAAATACTTACAAAATATTTTTGATTGATTATTAAAATACTTTAATTTGCATTTTGTAACATTTATGGGTACTAATTTGATAAAAAAAAAAAAATAGGTAAATACTAACTACAAAACAGCAGAATACTTCACCATGAAGTTAATATTAACATTTAACATTAAGTTAATATGAAGTTAACATTCTTTGAGCTGCTTATAATTTATTTAATTATATTAAGAGTTAAAAAAAAATTAAAACTGAAATTTAAAAACTAAATGAGAAATATTAAACTTATAAATATAACACATACGATTATTTATGAACATAGTTACAAATATAAACATGTATTGAGAGTGACTTGTTATATTTGTTTTAAATTAAAAATATTGAGGTATATGTAAAATTTAAAATAAATTATGTTTCTCTTCATTATGATAAAATATAAACTTAAATAATAATACACATTTATTTTTAGTTAAAATGAACACAATGAAAACATTCAATAATAAACCATTTTTTAAATGAGAAAGTAAAATTTCAGACTAATTAGCATTATTAGATAAGTATGATTTACCATAGTCAGGTCGATCAACCTAATACAACTATTTCAGAAGTTAGATTTCGGTTTATTAAAATTTGTAAAATAATATATTTTCTACGTGATATATATGTATATAGATCATCTACGCTGTTGTTGAAATATCTAAGTTCTGACGTAGGTGCTACTCCGCTCGTGTATAGGTGTTGCAATTTTTGACCTGATTCTCACGAATGTTTAGGGTTATACGAATACTCATAATAAATAATAAAATAATTTATACCAAATAACCATTAAAGTTCATTTATTGCTCAAAATTTAAGGTAATTCTTTATAATTATGGTATGTATAAATGTTCTAAAACTTGAATTCATTTTCGTGCACTGAAATATTTATATTTTTACAAATTTAAAGATGAACATCCCAATGTGATGATCTATATGAATACACTATAGCGTCATTTCACTACCCTCTATAAGTTATTTTTAAAAACTTTAAATTTTAAAATAATTAAATATAAATAAAAAAATCTAAAATTATAAGTTAAAATGTTTTAAAAATGAATCAATGAAAAAATAACTATATTGCATAAAACGTTCAGAATCTAAAAAATGTTGATTTAAATAAATCAATATAAAATCTATTTTGTCATACTTTATATACGAGTATGAGTTGCATTTGTTATTGGTAGACGTTTTATAACATTTATACAAATTAAGAATGATGAAATTTAGAAAGACTATTTTTACGTAAACATGAATATGAAATATATGTTTCCAATCGTTACATAATATAATTATTATAGTTTTTATTTTCTCGCAATTTTGCTGGCCTAAATATTGATTTCTTGTAAATATAAAGATTTATCAATTTATTAATTTTTTTTTTCTTATCAGTAATTTGTTTTACAAATTAGTAAATAAACTTGAATAATAATTTGGTCACTTTTTTCTGTCTTCAAAGAAGAAGGTCGCGTATTCTAATTAAATATCATCGATAAAGTGACATTTTTATTTTTGAAATTATCCAATATATTTGATATGTCCTCGCATTCGTAGTTAATGCAATAAATCATAATATACTTTTACTCATATATTCATCTAAGTTGATTACGTTATACATATCGTTTAGCTTGATACTCATTACGACACAACTTTAATATTAATCAAAATAAATAGAACGTAATTTGTGTAAAATGTATATACCTAATCTAGACCTCCTTGGACCTGGTGGTATCTGGTAGTATCTCTCAGCTGAGTAATCAGGATCACCTGAATCATAGTTTCTAATTGGCGAAAGACTAAGCAATCGAGGTGCAGCATCTTCGCTGTTTTTATGAAACCACTTCATGCTCGATCTTATCACCAACTGAAAAAATAATTTTAATATTAATACAAATTGTTAAAAATGTAACAACTCTAGTGGTTTAAAAATAAATATATTACTATACTTATAAAAATTAACAATCCGAAAACAGAGTAACCATTAAATTAAAATATAATCTAATAGAACTGTGCAGCCGTAATACTATCTATACATCTTTATTTTATAATTTTGTTTTTTATTTTACATTTATATATCTACATTATCAGTTTAGGATTAGTATTACATTCAATAGGTGCATAAAATGTCCATGGAACAATGTAATGTTTGAACAAATGTTAATTTATTTGTTTTTTTTTCACGGGCGATCCAATTGTGTACATATAATATAGTTGGTAATGATGCTTGATTATTATTTTATCATGAATTTGAAAAAAATCCAAATTTCATACTCTTTGGTTAAATTAATATTCATAATAATAAAGAAAATATTTACAATAAAACACTAAAAAATAATGAAGTTTTATCAAACACTACATTATGCAAATAATTTTTTAAATTTGCATAAAACTAAAAACGTAATCACAAATTTTAACTTGATTTATCATTATTTTATTTTATTATTCTGTATTAAATATGGAATTCTATTACAATGAAAATATTTTTTTGTAAACCAAAAGTTTTTCTCATTGTAAGTAAAACTATTGTGTTTATTAGTTAGTTATTTGATTGACCTAAATTTTTTATCAATAGTAAAGATATATTTATCCTAGACATATTTATTTAATGCATTTTAAATGAATCTGAAAAAGATTTTTTTTTAAATTATATATTTTATTTCTCGGATGCAAAATTATAACTCATTGTTAAAATCCAATATAATTTATTATTTAATTGATATGCAGTTTTCCGTTAATGAATCCGTTAATTAATTAATTATTATGATAATTAATTTAATAATATTTCAAAAGTTTATTTTAGAACCAACGTATAAATTGGAAAATATTAAATTAATTTGTTTAGACCAAAGCTTGGTTAAGATTAATTAGACAAGAGTTCACGGTCCTTCACAGGGGCTGTTTATAGTATTTTAGCTATAATTAATATGACACTTATACGCTAAAATTAAAATCTTATTAAAGTATCTAGAAAATTCTATGAAGATCAATGAAGTCTCGGGTAATTAATTAATATCCTTTTTTATTGTTATTTTATAAACAAATTATAACATTAACTAGTTTAAATGTTAATTTACTGATGAATAACAAAAATCAATTGTTGCAAAAACACAGATTACATTAAATACATAAATTTTTTTTGTATAAAATAATAATGCTGCAAATAATATTGTTACGGTAATTTATCAATTACTCAATACTTGAAATATGAAAATAAAATGCGCGTGAGTAAGTTTAAAAACCTATACTTCAATAATTTATATGGTTAACTAATGTAATATTAACATTATGTGAATATTCGTCATTCTCTAATAGTATCAATAAGAATTAAGGTTATGGAAACCAAAAAAAAGTGACGAAAAGTATTTTAAAAATGATGTATTTTATGGCTAAGCCAATATAATATATGTTTGAGAAATCAGCCGCACAGAAAATATAAATAATTTTGACTTTTGACCCAGAGAAACGTTTAATTACGAGAAATCGCTTTTCACATTTCCGCAGTTCATTTCACGGTCGATTTGACTTTTGGATTGACGCTCATTATTGTGCCATAAAGATCGCTTTCAATTAGTCTAAAAAGTAGAAATTATTTTAAGAGAAAAAAAATCGATTCATTTAATTCGTTCGTATTTTTAGTTAAATACTTTTTTTTTTTTTTTTAAATATAAGACCGTTAACTAAAAATACGTTTTTTGTTGTATTTTATTTTGTATGCAACTGAACAATCTAACTATAAAGCAACCACTAACGGTTGCATATGAAAAAAAAACACCATAAGGGGAGCAGACAGGTGTATCTATGGTTTACAACTGTACAGGCTTGTACCTAGTGTGATATCAACCAGAACAATTCTATTGCACAACAATAACGGACTTGTAGATATGGAAATGTGTATGTATTTTTTTTAGACAAAATATTTCATTAGATATATTCTAGTTTCTTAACAGCTTATTGTTATTTATTAAACACAACTTTACCAGAATTCTTTTTTATAAAAAACATTTTTTATTACTGACTAATATTTTTCATTAGTAAAATATATATTATATTTTATTTATCAAATAAAAATATTGATACAGACTAAAAATATTATAGTAGAAACACTTAATTTTTATAAAATTAAATTAATATTATTTATATTTTTAAATAAATATTTTATACGTGATTCACAAAATTAACCTAATGAACCAAGTCTGCTTAAGGATTATATATTTTATAAAGTAATATATATAATTACTTAAACACCCTATATTAATTATTTTCATTTAATGTTCACCATTAGCCAAAAAAAAAAAAGTCTTCCGCTTTTCAATTAATATCTGTAGTTTTGTACCTCCCTGAACTATACAACCGTTACCATAGATACTAATAATATTGTTTTGCGTGACTACTTATCGTATCATTGTTTGTGAGATGTTTTTATTTTATTCATACACCATATTTTCTATAATAATTAAAAATAAAATGGTTTCATAATCAATAAATGTTTTATACGATTAAACAAGGTGTATATTTAACTCACGAAATATCTAAATAACAACTTATATAAAAAATAATACACTTGCAATTTTCTAATATTTTATCTCATTTATTTTTAGTAATAATACACGTTTCATACATGTGAATCTTCTACATAAACTGTAAATATTTTACACTCGTATAGCTGAGTTAGTTACCAATTCAATTATTGATTATCTATAAGTTAAAATACAATATAATTTAATGGTAATAGTATTGGTTCTAGGTGATTTTTATTAATTGACTTTATAAAAATAAAAAATATATTAATAATTATATTGTAAGTATTGTTTTTTAAATTTTTTTTATTGAAATTATATTACTTAAGATCATAATAATATATCTATCAAATCACTTTGAAAAATAAAGAATATAAAAAGCCTGTGGTTAAACCTACAAAATTATAAACATTACAATAGATAAAAAATGAAGAGGTGTAATGTGAAAGCAATATAATAAATGTAGTAAAAGTTTAATTGAAAGCATTTAACAAAAGAACTATATTTTCGGTAGGTAGTATAACATTGTCAGTGAATTACCTCGTAAATGAATCTGTTAAAAAAAGAGTAGTCATTGATGTATGATTATTTAAAATTTTAAAACAATCGAAATCAGAAATTCAACCAGGTGAAGTTCAAAGATAAAACTTTTTTTTATAATATTTTGAAATTGAAATATAGTACAAAATGAAATTTTTTGTGCTTATTCTTAAATTAACATTTTTTAAAAATTATATTAAATATAAATTACGAAAAAAACATATAGAAATATATTTACAGCAGACAATTTATAATATTGAAGAAAGATGATGAAATATGAGTCATGCGCTTGACTACTTAAATTGGACGATAATGTATTCGCGTATAGATTATTTTGAAATTAAATAATATTGAGTCAGAATTATAAAACGAATACCTTAAAGGTATACACACCTTAATAAAACTGCGGTACTAAAGAAACCATTGCATTTTAATAAAATTATTCAATTTGTAGAAGTATAAAGCTAAAACAAAATAAACTTATTCATTTTGGTTATTTAATCAATACATTTTAACACGAAAATATGATTAATCTAATATAATTTGTAGGGTCTTGAATATTAATGGTATGTCCTTCAATACAGATATTTGCATTTAATAATAATTTAATATTATATTCGTTTAATAAAACTTAGAATTTTATATTACTGCACTAATATTAGACATTGACAATGTTAGTATTGTGTTAAAATTAAAAACCTTTAAAACAGCTAAATAGATAATTGTTTTAAAATTTAAAGATGACCAAATGAAACAAAGGATATTAAATTATATGTAAACTATGAGAATGTAAAAAAAATATATAAATAATGAATTTATACTTGGAAGCCATTAAGAGAATCACGACTACGAGATAAGATAAGTTAAGATATAGATCCAGATAACATATTTTTCTAAAACCTTTATATTTTACATTTTTTATGAATAATTTCATATTTAAATTTAATATTTAGTTTGGAATTAAGTATCATCGAGATCTAATTCATATACGTAATAAATTAATTTAATAATATAATTTAACTAAGATTATATTTACTATAATTATTTTATCTTCTTGAAATTGCAAAATGAACTTAGGATAGTAGATATTAATTAGTTTTAATACATTAAAATAATTTAATACGATTAGTCTCGTATTTTAAAGTGAATTTTAAAATGTATTTATACATCAACATAAGAATGTATTATAACGTGAGTCTTGTAAATCGATTTTCGTCTTCTCATGTCATGAGAGAAAACCGTTATGATGTTCACTGTTACACCATACATGGGTGCTATTTGAGTAGATACGAAAATAATGCACGTTATTTTATATGTACCGAGTACAACATTCACGATATTCGTGTTTATTCTTGTTTGCCAAATTATAAAGCAATAGTTTATGCTTCATTTATAAATTCTACATATAACCATGTATAATATAATAATATATACAACTACACATATATAATGATGTAATCATAATAGAAAGTATATATTATTTTAAATTCTCAATATTCTCATTCGATAAGGTATGAACGGTATACGATAACATTTTCGTAAAAACTAAAAAAAAATATTACTTAAAATGTAATAATCGTGCGTTTAAATGTATACACCATATTACTTAAGATTATTATGTAAAATGATGTGATATTATATAACATAATTGAAATCAATAATTAATTAATACTTAAAAGAAAACACATTTTAATCGAATAATTGGTACCTAAAGGAATTTTCAGAATTTGATTTTTTGTGTTGAAAAATTATTTATCAAAAACATTTGCATAGGTTTTAAAATTTTAAATATAAATAAAAAAATAAT